TGCCTTCAGATAGTGGAGAGAAATAATACCTTCTGCCTGGAAGTCATACTCACTGCCACTGTGTGGCAGGCTGGTTTCCCATCCCCCACCATTTCCTGGGCTCTTCTCAGGGTGCCTTGGTTGGTCTTTGTGAGATTCTCAAATGCTGAAAAGCATTGGAACTTTAAGGGTTCACAGGTAATAAACTTACTTTCCTTTAATTAAATAAGCACAGATTGAATGTCCCCTTACCATAGGCAGGTGGCTATTTCCAAGTCCACTGTCATACTACTTACTGTCTTTGTGTAATATTTATGAAATTATAGAAGGCTAGGTTGTATTCAGGGCAATTGGATTCATTGACACATAAGCGCATGCATTCCTGTCCTTTCATTGTAAAGCACCTCCCCTGATCTCTGTGTCCTGATTTGCCAGCACCTCTGTTGCCCTTTATTTAAATTTTAAACTGTAGGAGATAAGGTTTGCTCGTAATTGATTTTTGTGGAGGGTTTAGCATGTTCTGTTATTAATCATTTGCTTTTGTCTAGGCATTCTGAAATCTTATTTTATCAGATTGTAGAAAAAGATGGTTTTTCTAATTTTTTTTTTGGTAGGATTAAATTACCCAAAATATAAATTAAAACTGTCTCCAGGATATAAACCTTCTCCTGCATCCATCCCTTCTTGTTCATTTTTAAATGCCTCAGTGTCAGCCTGGCATGTAATGTACTCTTTTTTATTTTTAACACCTTTTTTGAGATATAATTCACATACCATATAATTGACTCATTTAAAATGTACAATTCAATGATTTTTTTTTAGTATATTCACAGCTATGTGTAGCCATTACCACAGCTAATTTTAAAACATTTTCGTCATCTTAAAAAGAAACCCCCTTACCCTTTAGCTATCCACTCCCTCATGTCCCCCATTTCTTCCACCAGTCCCAAGCAACCACCAGTCCACTTTCTATAGATTTCTCTGTTGTGGACATTTCATTTGCATGGAATCATGTAATATGGGGTCTTTTGTGACTGTGCCTGGCCTCTTTCACTTAGCACAGTGTTGTCAAGACTCATCCGTGTTGTAGCATATGTCTACTTCATTCTTTTTATGGCCAAATAATATTCCATTGTGTAGGTGCAGACCTCGTTTGTCTTCCCCATTCATGAGTTGGTTGGCATTTGGGTTGTCTCCACGTTAAGGTGCCCCCACAGCAGCTCCTCCCCTACTCTGTCTGCTCTCCACCCCTTTCACCCTCTTCATACAGGGACTCCAGAATTCATTCTCTGATATTTTTTCCATGATTTAAAAAAAAAATGTTGTTAAGGATATAAAATCATATAGAAGTTTTTCATGTTCTGTATGTGAGTGTTTACTTCTTTTAGTACAGTCTGATTTTTTTCTTTTTTTTTTCTTCTGAGCTTTCTCTTCCCCCTACCACTGTAACAGTGTCCCCGACTCAGTGACAGCCTGGCATGGATCTTTCCCTGTTTTCTGCATGTGTATATCTAGATGTATATATTTATACACATATACATAGATAGAATAGGGGTGTGGGGGGTGGCATTGTTTCTTTTATAAAAGTGACATTGTTATGCATACTTTTCTGTAGCTTGCTGTTCTCAGTGAGTAATACCTTGTGAATGGCCCCAGAGTCCACTGGTGTGTCTTTAATTTGGTCTTAGTTTTTTTTTTTGTCTTTTTCCGTGTCCGGCAACGGATCGCAACCCTCAGTGTCGCCCCCGCACCGGACCGGGACCGGCAACGGGACTGCAACCCTCAGCGTTGCCCCCGCGCCTCGCTCAGCCAGTGAGCGGGAACCGGTCTGTATGTGGGATCCGAACCCTCGGGCGGGAGCGCCGCCGCGCTTCCCAAGAGGCGCACTATCCAGTGCGCCACTGGGCCGGCCCAATTTGGTCTTAGTTTTTAATGGCTGCGTAATATTTCATGGTGTGCGTGGTATCAGAACATACCCAGCTGTCCCCCTGGTGGTGGTCTGTTTCCAGTGTCATCGCTGCCACCACGGGGATCCTTTGTCAGCACCAGTCTGACCATGTTGTGTCCTGCTCTGAGCCGCCAGTGGCTCCTTATCTCAAACACAATGACTGTCAGACCTGAGCACCATGTCCACCTTGTAAGCCCAGGCTCCTCCCCACTGTCCGCTGTCCTGTCCCAGACTAAAGACCGAGCATGAGAGGTTCTTTTTCCACCTCATAGCTTTTTCTCATGCTTTTTATCTGCAGGGAGTGCCCCTCCCCCTCCGGCATTTGAAGAGCCCACGCTCTGGTTCGAATCCATGCACCTTGCATACCCCGTCGGTGTTTTTCTCTCTCCTGTGTTCCCAAGGAACTTAACTTTAATCTTCAATATGGTTTCATATTAGGCTTTCTACTATAAGAATAGTGATGTTTGACGTACCTGTCACCCTCCTAAATCTCAGGGTCCTTGGAAACAAAATGCAGACCCACCTTTTCTTTAATCGTCGCTGAGCATGAATCACGAGACTTTGTACATAGTAGGTATTTAATAACTATTCAGTAAATGGATCAAGCCCAGACTCTGTGACTGTAATTGCCTCAGGTTAGGGCTGTCCCTTCTAAAATCTAACCTGTTTGTCGCCATCACAACTTCGCTGTTAGTACACCACCGCAGGCAGTCTTTGTTGGAGTGAGCTCAAGTTCTGCAAAACTAGTTACCAGTCAAGACTGGTGTGCATTCGTTTTGAAGGGCAAAGTGCCTTTAAGTTGTTTCTTGTCCAGCCTCCAGCTGTGTCATCTTTGAACATTAAATTCACCAGAAAAGGAAGTGGCCTCTGAAAAGAGAACCACCAATGGAAATCGAGGTTTACCCCCCTCGTGATTGCAGGGTGGGTTGCCCAGGGTGACAATCAGCCTATAGATCCCCCTCCCCTGGTTAAATTACTGGGAAGGGGCAGAAACACAATCGCGATGGGAGCCTGGAAGTAGCGGCTGCTCCCAGCGGCTCTTGCCCTCCCCTGCCTGGGCTGTATCAAATCCTACAACCACACCACACTAATTAGCCCGGAGTGGAAGGGGTTGTCATGGTGACCGGGCACTTTTTAAAGCACAGGAATGGTGTTCATTATTGTTCCGTGTCTTTAGCTGTGGGGAAAAGGTCAGTGTGGCGTTGTTTTCCATATGCATTTTGGCCTGATAGCCGATCGGAAGGTGGAATGTCCCTCAGAGAGACTGGAAGATGGTAAGTGCAGCTGAACTTTTTGGATAGGGAGGTCCTTTGAGCAGTGTATCTGTTAGAATATTTTAATAACTCCAGTGCCAAAGGAATTGCTCGGACTTTTCTAAGTAGAGACTGGAAGAAAAGAATCAAAGGTCAGGAACAGTGAAAGCTTGAGAGAGAGTTAGAGATATTTTAGATTAAAGTCTTTGAGCATCAAATGGTTAAATCTTAAATTTAGATGGCTTCTCTGATACTATGAATTTAACAAAATTGAATAAGTTTGATACTTTATTTGGCGTTCGTTTAATAGTCACTCTATCCTAGTCTTTGTTGATGGCCACTGGTCAGATTTTATTCTCAAATAAATATAACAGAAGCATTGTAACCAAATACATTCAGAATGATCCCCCACCCCCATTTTTTAATCCAGAGAGATGGTCTAAGAGTCACCAAGGGTAATTTTGTCCTTATATTTGTATGCTTTTCTTACTTTTCTAAGGATAGTTTAAGTAATCAAGACTAAAAACCAGAGAGCCACAGTTCTTTGGATGTTTGCCCTAATTTGTTAGCTGCACTCGGTTAGAATATTGCTAAGTAAAGACAATTTGACCACAGTGTTTGTAAAAGAAATTAAATATGAGAGAAGTCAGTCTGCTGGAGTTGATGGCAGCTGTTCCATCAAACGCTGTAAGGGGGATTTGCAGAGCATTCTTTACACTTATTTTTTGCTAGTTTGAAAGTGTGCAGAATAACATGGCTTTAAGCTTAATTTTGTGTTAATGACTGACTGCATTTTTAAGGGTCACAAATTAAGCCACTTTGCATTTTTTTTTTTGGCACTTTTTAACGATTACGTCCTGTGGCACTATTTTCCAGGCATTTTATTCACAGTTGTATAGGATAACAAAATACAAATTAAAGGGAATGGGTGGCTGGATTAAAAAACAAATCACCATCCAAAAAGCTGTCAGTGGGAAGTGGCCTACTTTTATGCTTTACTCTGAAAAACTATTGTCCTGGCAGCAGTGCCCGATTGTTTGGCAACTGAGCAGATAAGAGAATGCATTTTTAGAGTGTTAAGTCTTCGTTTGATTTCCTCTGTCCTTAATCTGTATGTTCAGGGGCACATTTTATTTAGTGATCATAGTGTGGAACTCTCAATAACTGGGTATTTTACTAGAAATTAAGTCAATTAAAATTTTTTCATTTTTGTCTCTTTCCTTCACTGGCTCACAGTGCTGCCTGCCCCCACCCACCCACCGTGTGTGTGTGTGTGTGTGTGTGTGTGTGTGTGTGTGTGTGTGTGTGTGTCCGTCCCTCACTAGGTCACTGTATTCTTTACCTAAAAAAAGTCTTTAAATGCCTTTAAATTTAAGTTTAAAAAGTAAAATAAAGTGATATTTGTATGAAAAAGTGTCAAAATCTGGAAAAAAATAGATTTTAAAATGGAGGTACATTTCTGATATTTGTGAGATAGAAATTTGAACATGGACATTGATATTAAAAATTATTGGTATCTTTTTAAGGTGTGATAATGATGTAGTTATAGTAAAATATATATACAGAAATGTTTATGAATAAGATAATATGATATCTGGAACTTTCTTCAAAAAGTCCAAGGGGCGGGAGTAAGCAGGGGGTGGCTACGGCAGGGTTGGCGTGGGGGATGGTGTTGGAGCGAGGTCACGGTTTACCGGGCTTCATTTTTTATTCTGTTTTTTTTTGTAGGTTCAAAATTCTTGCGTGTGGTGTGTGTAAAACAATGGTGGGGGTGGCCTTACTACTCTATCTAATCTAATTCTGTCTTACCTAACTTTTTCCCACCTTTTCACTTGTTTTAGATGCCAGACCAGTTTGACCAGGCAGTTGTGCTAAACCAGCTGCGCTACTCGGGGATGTTGGAGACGGTGAGAATCCGCAAAGCTGGGTACGCAGTGCGAAGACCCTTCCAGGATTTTTACAAAAGGCAAGAGGGAGCTGAATGGATCTTTTCTTTTTTTGTCCCAGAGGGGTTGGGGAGGGCGGGGAACAGTAGCAAAGAGTGACCCTATGTGTCTTTGTGCTGCAGGTATAAAGTGCTGATGCGGAACCTGGCTCTCCCCGAGGACGTCCGAGGGAAGTGCACGGCCCTGCTGCAGCTCTACGACGCCTCCAACAGCGAGTGGCAGCTGGGGAAGACCAAGGTGCGAATAGAGAGACAACAACTGCCACCAAACCCTGGGAGATGGCGGAGTGATACTCACGACGTTTAGTGCTGTGTGACAGTGCTGATCGGTTGTGGTTTTTTTTTTTTTTTTTTTTTTCTTTTGTCTTTTTCCGGGACCGGCAACGGGATCGCAACCCTCGGTGTTGCCCCCGCACCTCGCTCAGCCAGTGAGCAGCCGGTCTGTATGTGGGATCCGAACCCTCAGCGGGAGTGCTGCCGCGCTTCCCAAGCAGCGCACTGTAGCAGTGCACCACCGGGCCGGCCCCTTATTTGAAGTCCTTGATTTGTCAGGGACTCTGTCTTGTGAGGGGACACATTGAAACATTTCATCCGTGTGTGTGTGTGTGTGTGTGTGTGTGTGTGTGTGTGTGTGTGTGTACACTCAGGCAGTCAATACATGTTGGCTGCTGAGTGACTTGGTGTTGTGAAAGTACTAGGCTGCCCCCAGCATCTAAGAAGTGAGACCCCAGGCCCTTCCAGTGTTCTGTGATGCAGGTGCTGGATGTACCAGCAGACAGTCTGAAATCCTGTAGGTTGCCAGAAACTCAGACCAAAAAGCAAAAAGTAGAGTCCACTTGTGGACATACTGGTCTGGTGGTGTCCCTTAACCCCTTATTCCAGAAGGGAGCTGAGTCGTGGGGCAGTTTGTCCCGAACACCAAAAATTAGCCATAATATTAGTTATCCAACCTTTTCTCCCTGTGTCAGGGAGCTGCCAAAAATCTCATTTGGCTTTCCACGTGCCTCTAGTCTCTTATCATATGGGAAAGACAGAAGTGTGACTCTGGACACAGAAGTGCAGGCAGCTGGGGTTGGCCTTTGGGTATAAGTGTGTCCTCTAAAGTAAGAGCTGGTCCTCCTGCCACTACTTGTATGTAACAATGCACTGTCAGAAATATTTAATAGTTCTCACTCATAATAAGTTGTTTTTAACCAAGGAGTTTCCTTGTTTTAAAAAAAGAAAGGAGGAGAAATAAAAGACGGGAGGTAGGAAGACAGACAGACATGTATCCTGCAGTTTGACCAGTGTGAGATCAATGACACATACTTAGACATGACTTCACGGCCACTCTGCCAGCGAAAGCCATAATGGCCCTACCCCTGTGCTCTGGAGGAATGTTTAACTGGTGAGAGGTTTGAGATATAGACATTTAATAAGGTAGAGATGGCGTGCAGAGGTATCACACTACTATCCATTGCTGTGTAATACGTTACTGCAAACTCCACAGCTCTAACAATTCACATTTATTATCTCACAGTATCTAAGAGTCAGAGTTGGTGCTTAACTGGGTCCTCTGATCAGGGTCTTGCAAGCCTGCAGTCTCTGTATCCTGGGACTTCATTTATTTCTGGAGCTCCGGGGGTGTTCTTCCAAGCTCTCACTGGTTGTTGGTAGAATTTATTTTCTTGTGTGTTTGTAAGACTGAAGTCCCTGTTTTCTTTCTGATGACAGTCAGGGCCCACCTGCAGCTCCTGGAGGCCCCAAAGGACCTTGCTGTGTGTCCCCTCACAACATGGCTCACTTCCTCAAGGCCTGCAGGGCAAGCTCCTCCTCCAGTCAGCTAAGACGGAGTCTTTAATAATATAACATACTCACAGAAGAGACACTCCATCGCCTTTGCCAAATTCTGCTGGCTGCAAGCAAGTCACGGGTTCTGCCCACACTAAGGATTAAACAGGGCCTAACTCCTCGGGGATCACCTTCGGGTGTGCCCATTGCGGTTGATAGGTGTCTCTGCCTGGAACCTTACTCACCACTCCTTCCTGAGCCAACTCATCCTTCACGTCTTGACCTAGGTGTAGACTTTGATAGAAATCCTTTTCTGACTTTCTTTAATGGCACCCCAAAACTGAGTGAAGTCCCCTCCTCTGTCACCCCGGATCATCCTCTTCTTAGCCCTGTTGTAGCACTTGACATGCTGTCATGCTGCTGGCCTCTCTGCAGTCACTCAGTGGGGAAAGTGGAGTTCATTGCTCCTTTACACAGTACACATAGTAGGAGCTTGGTCAATACCTAAGTGCTGAAAAGCTGTTAGGGGTGGCACAAGGATGTCATGCGTTTATTCATAACCTCAAGGAAAACTTTCTGAAGAAAATGGCTCAAGTAGAGCTCTTGGCAGTGCAGTATAGTTGGTTCTGATTTTTTTTAAGTCAAAAAGAAATTGCATTCTCTATAAACTAATGCCCCCATCTTATCTCACTGCCTTGTACAGTGGTGTAACATCAAAGATCACTATGACTAACCCCAGCCATTAACAGTCTCTTTTCTGAGCTCCAAGTACCAATCCAACTTCACTTACAGTTTATATTAGGAAATCTGGCACAAGGAGGGCTTGGGACCAGGTGCACCATCATGGATTCAGAAACATGGGCATTGTCCTCAGTTTACTTTGTTGTTGGAAGATAAGACATCCACTTACAACTGATAAATTAGGTCATACAGTAAAATCTCTTTTAAGGACTGAGGAGACAGCTTCTCTAGGAGAGGTCCGTGTGGATTGAGATGATCAGGGAAGTAGTCAAGAAGAGGAAATCTCTAGAGGAGTTAAATTTTAATGAGTGAAAAGTTAGAAGTAGAATAGTTGTATGGAAGCTTATCAGTCCACAGAACCGTTGGGAGGTAAATGCAAACATTAAAGCATTTGAATTGCGTCCTCTAGATAGCTTTGATCTTGACCGGAGTTTGATTTAATTTTGTTTGATTTAATTATTCACTAGCATGGGTTTCAGCGAGTGTCGCCACCAGAAGGTCTTTGCATGTAAAGCCTTGAGCCTCTGATGAACATCTGGATGGTCTGGTGAAGGGATTTCCGTCATACTTACCCAGCAGAGGGACATGTGGCCAGCATGGGCGTCACCAGATGAAACATGGCACCAGGTCTGAATTGACTGGTGTATATAAAACATATTTAGTCTTAGTAAGGCAAGAATTCTTATCTGTAGGACTGGGGAAGCTTCATTACAGCAGGGAGGCGGCCTGTTCTGTTCTCCATGGAACAGCCCTTGAAGGAGGTTCTGATGGATTTCCCCACTGAGAAGCTGCGTTTAGGGGGACTCAGGTGGGCAGCTGCTGCTCTTCCTTCCCTAGTCTTTTCCCTCTGCCTCAAGATTCCAGCACACTTTGCTTTTCTGACCCTCTTGACATTATTAGACCTTCCTTCGTTCTGTTGTAATAAAGCCTGCGAGAGGTATTTTCATAAAGACATCGTACTAGAAGGACCCGTAGGATCCTCAGCTATGTAAAGGTGAAGGTGTTGGATATTGAGTCGCACCCAGCAGAGCAGCCGCTTGGAGTGGACGCCGCCCTGTCCTAAGCTGCTCCGTGGTGCCTGCTGAGGGCAGCGTGATGCCGGGTGACACCACCATGCACAGGAGCTGGGTCATGCTGACTCGATCACAGCCAAGTCCTAAGAACGCGATGATGTGACACAAGGGCTCACTGTGACACTTGCCGTGTGTTGTTGCATAAATTCAGGGTGGATGCTCTTAATGTACCCAGGGCAGGTCTCTAAAAGCATTTTGCTCCATTTGTTTGCCCTTCATGTTAGTGAAGGAGAATGTAGATAAAGATGTGAAAGTATAATGTAACAGGCAGAGCAGAAGAGCTCTCTTCTTAATGGGCATGAGGGTGAAGCAGGTACAGTTGGTTGTCCGTATCCCCGTACCCCAGGTTCCTCATCTGCAGGTTGAAAATATTCGGAAAAAATAAAAATATAACAAAAAATAATACAAGCCAAAAAAAAAAAAAAGAATACAATATAACTACAAGTATTGATGTAGCACTTACATAGCATTACCTATTATAAGGAGTCTGCAGATGACTTAAAGTATACAAGAGGATTGCGTAGGTTATACAAATACTGCTCCATTTTATATCAGGAACTTGAATATCCTTGCATTTTAGTGTTTGCACAGGTCTTGGTGTCTTTGGGGATACCAAGGGATGACTGTATTTCTCTGGTTTTGATTCCAACCAAGATGTTCTTTAGACTTCTGATAATGAAAGGGGGGGGTTGTTCCTTCATAAAAGTTTCCATTTGCTCCCCTAATAAATGTCTCGCTCGTTAGAGTCGACACTTTTTTCTTAGTGTGTCACCACCACCACCACGCTTCTCCAGCGTGTGACTTCATTACTCTCCCTTCTAAACACTCACGAGAGCCAATGCATTAGAATAATAAGATATGTAATACCAAAAAATAATGTCAAAGAGAAGTTTAAGTACTTCTCTAAAGTCCAATTTTGATGAAAGCCGCTTCTGATACGTGGTTTTAATAATATGGAGAATTCATATTTCTGAACAACTCTAATTGCTATCACACCAAACAAGCTTTATATTTGTAGCTTTTGTTCTGTACGTTAAAGATATTTTTGCTGTTTGCTAAATATACGGTGTCTTCATGCATCAACAGAGCATATTAATTGCAATTATAAGAAGAGGATTGTATGAAAAGCTTTTCTAGGAGAATTGTGTGTGTAGAGTTTTACAAATGCTCAGGAACCCAGAGCAGGAATAGGTGCAGCTTCTGTGGGTCACAAGGTGGTAGGACTCTTTAATTGCTTTTTTGGCCCAAATGTCATCGAGGATACAGAGCAGGGGGAGTCTGGAGAACTGCGTCATAAAGACAACGTGAACGTGTCAGCATGGCCAGAATGACTCATGGAGCATGAAATGAAAATTCACAGAGGCACCAAAATGCCTCCATGCTGACCTTAACAGGAAAGCATAAAAATATTCGGCACTAGTGTTTTCAGGGAATAATTCAAAATTTCTTATGCATATATTAAATCTGAAATGCAGAAATTAAAAGCTACCTCGATAAAGGGAGGGTCTTAATATTTTCATATCTTCTCATACAGAGTGCCAATTATCAGACACGCTTACCTTACTTGACAAGCATAGGATTGGGGTCCCCCTTCTCAGAAACAGGCCAACAAATAGCACAAGTTATTTAATCCCAATTCCAATGTGCTGGTGATAGCTGAACTGAGATGTAGCGGAAATAGTTCAGTTCTCATTTCAAACTTAGTTTTCAGAATTACATTCTTAATGTCATTATTTTTATGTGCATTTAAGTTTTTGAAGCTAAGATGCTCTGTTCATAATCATTTAGAAGGCGTGAAGAGAAGGTTTTCATGTGATAGCAAAATAACATTTGGGGAATTTCCTGGATTCCCTCTCTCCCTTTTCTTTCTGTGTCTCTATATCTTTTCGTTACTTGGCTTCCATGTAGGACTGGAGCTGGTCCATTTATCCTGGCCCATGATGAGATAAAGTGTTTAGAAATGTTAATAACAATTTGAGAGTCATTTTATACCTATTAAATCTAATAATTATAACAAAGGAAACGGAACTTGTACTTTATATATCTTTTAGTTTTTTCTTTCTTGTAATATATCTTTATAAACGTATTAGTCCATGACAGGTGGGATTTTTAAAAACCACTGTTCTAGAAAGCATGGGCATGTGAGTTTGAAGCCAACTTAAGAAGAGAGAAAAAAAGCCTTACCCCAGAAGGATATCTCTGACTCAGAGGTCCTTTCTTCTACTAGCCATGTTCTTTGCTTCTGACATGTGGCTCCCTCCTGGGCAGGTCTTTCTTCGAGAATCCTTGGAGCAGAAGCTGGAGAAACGTCGAGAGGAAGAAGTTACCCAGGCGGCCATGGTGATCCGCGCCCACATCTTGGGCTACTTGGCACGGTAAGAGCCACACTCAGGGGAGAAGATGTTAAGCTCCATGAGGGGTCCTTCCCCAGCTATGTGTCCCCTGTGGACTAGCCTGAGTCGTTTGCACTGAGAAGAGTCCCAGGCGAGGCCTCCCAGGTATCTATGCCAGAAGCCCCGTCAGCTTGACCTGGGCAGAAAGAGGAAAGGATGCTCATCACTTTTCGACATCTACTATTAGAACAGTGACATTAGGGGACTCTGCTGACATACTTAACTGGTTTACCTAGTTCGTCTGCATTATGCATTGAAGCCACAGCAGCTCGGCTATGTACTTTGGTATTAAGGTTTTGTCTCTGGAGGCCCACTCTCCAGTTGTTTGCAGAGTGAGGCAGCTTTTTTCACGTGCATTTTAGTTCTATCTGCTATGCAGAATAGCGCACATGAAACCCCAAATATTAACGTTTTCTGAAATACAAAGCTGTCCTGCTGCAGTGGCTTTTTTTTTTTTTTTTTCTTCGTATGAACAGTAGAATACATCAAATCTCTTTTGATATTTGTTTACCCAACTTCTTGCCAGGGCTATTCAAAGTTAGCATTAGGGGTTATGTGTTTGTTTAGCCAAGATAGGGATAGAGTTCTTACTTTAGTTTTGTTTGTTGTTATTCTTTTGTTTTTCTTCTGTTTTGTTTTGACCAGAGGGGCCCCTTTGTCCTCTCCCTTCTCCATAATGAGGGTATCATTCCCAAAGCAGGCCCTCTTCTTTTGTCTGGCAGCCTTCATGTAAGCTCATTTGAATAACTCGAAGCCTCATTACCTCAACAGCTATTCTCTGGTTTCTTTTTCGCTTTCAGAAAGCAGTACAGGAAGGTCCTTTATTGTGTGGTAGTAATCCAGAAGAATTATAGAGCATTCCTTCTGAGGAGGAGATTTTTGCACCTGAAAAAAGCAGCCATCGTTTTCCAGAAGCGACTCAGAGGTCAGATTGCTCGTAGAGTTTACCGACAACTGCTGGCCGAGAAGCAGGAGCAAGAAGAAAAGAAGAAACGGGAGGAAGAAGAAAGGTACAGGAGCTTTCTTGCTGGGATGAAGCATACATTTTGAGTTTTACGCTTAGTATCTCTCATGCATCAAGATCTTCAGTCGATGCTGCAGAACCGACTATTTAAAATAATAGCTCTTGGTGGCTGGAATTTAGAATTCCTTGGCAGCGCTGAAGACCCAATTCTGTGTACAATTGTATTCATGCGCAGAATAAGCACATTGCCAAAGGAAGAGGCTTTGTTCTTTATGCTTTCGAAGTTGTCTTTAGCAAAGCTTTTGCAGACACATCTCCCTGAAAAGTGGTTCTAGGGTTGTCGTCGTTTTTGTTGTTGTTGATTTTTACTTTCCTTCTTCTTTCCTATTTTTAGAGAAAGAGAGAGAGCCCGAAGAGAAGCTGAGCTCCACGCCCAGCAGGTGATGAACGCTGTGACAATTTGGCCTCTTGCTTACCCACTTCCTTCCCACTTCAAACACTTCGACTCTAGGATTCAAAACTGAAATAAAGTAGAAAGATACAGGAAGAATAGCTCAAGAGGAAATGTTTACGATGCAATTTCTAACCCGTTACCATTGGGTAAAGCTTGGTGAATGTCTAAGATTTTAGTGTGAATCCCAACAGCATAATTTCTCTAAACCAATATCGCCACTGCATTAATAATTTGTTACAGCTGCCATGACAAAATACCAAAGCCTGAGTGGATTAAACAATGGGAATTGATTTTCTCACAGTTCTGGAGGCTGGAAGTCCAAGGGCAAGGTGCCCTTAGGTTTGGTTCCTCTTGAGGCCTCTCTCCTCGGCTTGCAGACGGCCGCCTTCTCACTGTGTCTTGCTGGCCTTTCTTCTGTGTGCACCCTTCCCTAGTGTCTCTGTGTATCCTAATCTCCTCTTCATATAAGGACACCAGTTAGCTTGGATTAGGGCCCATCCTCTCAGCCTCATTTCAATGTAGTTACCTCTTTAACAGCCTTGTTTCCAAATACAGTCATATTCTCAGGTACTGGGTTTAGGGCTTGAGTTTGGGGTGGGGTGCCCTCTTCATATAAGGACACCAGTTAGCTTGGATTAGGGCCCATCCTCTCAGCCTCATTTCAACGTAGTTACCTCTTTAACAGCCTTGTTTCCAAATACAGTCATATTCTCAGGTACTGGGTTTAGGGCTTGAGTTTGGGGTGGGGTGGGGGGACAAAGTTCAGCCCATAACCACCACATTTCATTGTGGTTGCAGAGGGGGGGTGATGCTTGTACTTTGTCTCTTGAAATGTCCTAAAATCTCATTTCTCCTTTACATCCAGGAGGAAGAAGCAAAGAAGCAGCGAGAGCTCGAAGCCTTGCAGAGGAGCCAGAAGGAGGCAGAGCTGACCCAGGAACTGGAGAGGCAGAAAGAAAACAAGCAGGTGGAAGAGATCCTCCGCCTGGAGAAGGAGATCGAGGACCTGCAGCGCATGAAGGAGCAGCAGGAGCTCTCGCTGACCGAGGCCTCCCTGCAGAAGCTGCAGCAGCTGAGGGACGAGGAACTCCGGAGGCTGGAAGACGAAGCCTGCCGCGCCGCCCAGGAGTTCCTCGAGTCCCTCAACTTCGACGAGATCGACGAGTGTGTGCGGAACATCGAGCGCTCCCTGTCCCTGTCCGTCGAGCTCGGCGAGCTGGCCGAGAGCGCGAGCGGGGACAAGCCCAGCTTCAACTTCAGCCAGCCCTACCCGGAGGAGGAGGTGGATGAGGGCTTCGAGGCCGACGACGACGCCTTCAAGGACTCCCCCAACCCCAGTGAGCACGGCCACTCGGACCAGCGCACAAGTGGCATCCGCACCAGCGACGACTCTTCCGAGGAGGACCCCTACATGAACGACACGGTGGTGCCCACCAGCCCCAGTGCGGACAGCACGGTGCTGCTCGCCCCGTCCGGCCACGACTCCTCCAGCGGGGAGTCCACCTACTGCATGCCCCAGAACACCGGGGACCTGCCCTCCCCGGACGGCGACTACGACTATGACCAGGACGACTATGAGGATGGTGCCATCACCTCCGGCAGCAGCGTGACCTTCTCCAACTCCTGCGGTAGCCAGTGGTCCCCAGACTACCGCTGCTCTGTGGGGACCTACAACAGTTCCAGCGCCTACCGCTTCAGCTCCGAAGGGGCACAGTCCTCGGTGAGTACCTGCCGAGTTGTCCCCCTGGGGATGCAAGGGGCCTGTCATCCACACCCCTGTTGCACTAAGACATCCCCCCCGTAGAATGCACAAAGATTTCAGTCGTGAGCTTAAGGGTGTCTTAAACCCTTTTCTCTTTCCAAAAACCAAGCACATTAGTAAATAGCACCTGGATGTGCCTGTTGCGGTTTGAACTGAAAGCCCAGAACTGAATTTTGCCTGAGGCCTGAGAAAACTGGCATTTTAAACAGAGCCGTTAGCTTTGCTTTGCTGCACGATGGGAAATGAGGCACACCCTGAGCTGCAACTAGACTTGCCAAGGGAGTGTTGGAGAACTTTCCTTCCAGTAACTTCACAGTCCACACCGCACGATGCTGGTCCTTGTGCTGGTTGTAAGGGAGGAATCTTCAGGGTTTCGATATGCTCTCTTTCCAGCTTCTGGATTTATTATAGTTTACTTTTATTTTTTTTTCCCTTTGGTTGTGTATTAAATGCTCTCTCCGCTTTTGAAGAGGGTTTCGATATGCTCTCTTTCCAGCTTCTGGATTTATTATAGTTTACTTTTATTTTTTTTCCCTTTGGTTGTGTATTAAATGCTCTCTCCGCTTTTGAAGACTTGAAAATATTTTTAGCATAGTGATTAAAAGGAGATTAACTCTTGCATGGTTTGAGTAAAATTATACTCTTAAACAGCAGTGTTATTTTTAGAATAGATAGCCTTTGACTTTCTAAAATTTTTCATTTTTTTGACAGCTGGCTAATACAGGGATCTGAACCAGCCATGACCTTCAGGTTATAAGGCTGCATTCTAACCAACTGAGCTAACCAGTCAGCGTCTAGAGTAGATAGCCTTTGGATTAAAGTACGTGTGCCTTGTGTTTTATGCATCAGTCCATCTAATGATTTGGCCCTAAAAGTTAGTCTTTTGTAAGTCTGAAGAATTCTTTTGGTTGCCACACTCCACTGTGCTTTTTATGTTGTTCTGTTTTGGTTTTTAACAGTATGAACAAAAGCTTTAAGCAAAAAAATGGAATAGTACTTTCAGAAAGAGTATAAGAAATTTGGTATGACTTGTAGAGCATCAGTGGGTGAAAGACAAATTTGCTGCTTTAGTATTTTATAACTACCTTCAAATAAAGCAGACATTAATGTTGACATTTTACAGAAGACTAAGATTTGCAAGTTACTTGCCTGAAATCACATAACTTGTCAGTGGTAGAACCAGGGTCTGTCTGCTCCAACTCCTTTTGAAACTATTAATTTTTACTGCTTCCCACATTAACACATTGAGATGTGTGGGTGGGGGAGAAAGGTGTACTTTTCTCAAAGTGTCAATCAGGTTACGTTTTGAAAAAACTTCAAACCTGGAAAGGAAAATTATAGTGAAAAAAATGTAAAATGGTCACGCTCCATTGTGATGCTGTGAATCGGGAGTATCGCTTCTTTGTCCGTGATTTTTATTTTCTCCATGTTGAGATATGCGGGGTGTTTTCCGTGCTGACTTTCTGCTCACTGCTGGCTCTCTCTCCCCTTGTCCAGTTTGAAGATAGCGAAGAGGACTTTGACTCTAGATTTGACACAGATGATGAGCTCTCTTACCGGCGCGACTCTGTGTACAGCTGTGTCACGCTGCCGTACTTCCACAGCTTCCTGTACATGAAAGGTATGACCTGCAGGCCGCTTTACCTGCCCCTTATGGCAGCATTAGGCCATGTAGGTGAAGGGAGGACACCATGCCATGCTGGTATAACATGGATGACATGGTCCTACCATGGTGAATGTTGAGTTGATGTCCCTGGATTGGTGCAGAGAGGTCTTGTTTCTCTCATTGGTGTATTTATCTTTATGTATCTTTCTTTTGTTCTCCTTCATATTTTTTTTCTGTTCTTCTTATGTTTTTCCTTTCACTTGATTTCCTTTTTGCTACATCTGCTCCCCTTCTGAAAAGATGGGTCTGGCCACTAACACTGGTCATTTGCTTTTCAATGACCTGCCGTTCTCAGACTTAGACCCCCAGGTGCTCATGAAAACCCCACCAGGTTTGGCTTAGGAGAGACCTTTCTATTTTCTGAAATCACTAGTTAGTATAGATTTTTATGTGTTGGAATGAAATTGAGAGATTCTAACCAAATGACATAACCAGCATTGGAACACCTGACAAAAGAAAAAAATGTAATCAAATCAGAACCTAGTGATTCAATAAGTATTTAATGATAGCATCTTAAGATTTTTCTCATATATTTCTCAGGTGATTCAATAAGTATTTAATGATAGCATCTTAAGATTTTTCTCATGTAGAATAAATACAAGCTTTTTATTATTAATAAATTTCCCCTCCCCTAATTAACTTTTAGTTCTTTAAGTTTGCTTTAAAATCTCCTATAATGTCACTGTTATTTATAAAATATGGCATTGACTTATCACATTGTTGTCTGATTAAACAAATAAAATTAGGAAAAAAGTAAAGGTATATTTAAAGCATTAAAGTCAGAGATCAAGAAGGTAAGCAGGTGAGGTTTGGGCATCTCTGAGTAAAACAAGTTGTTGTGTAAATGCAGCATCATTTAATCATTAAGATAGTCTTATAGTAGTACCAGAGAAGTAGTTTCAGAGAAGCCAGTGAAAAAGAAAATCCAGTCACCCACTTATATTTTATGGGTAAAAATGAGTTTTTACCAGCCAGATAACCTACTTCAGGTGTTTGCAACTAGGAAATTAACAGCATTAGTCAAAATCTGTAAATGGTAAAGTATCAAGGGAGCAGCTGGAACTGCAGAGAGAGGGCTGGGAGTGAATCCTAAAGCAGATGATGAGCAGATTAAATACTCTAGTGCTGACGGCTGTTGTGATGACTGTTCTAATCTTTGAAACAACTGTGAATAAGCTTTATCATTTAAAGATGATAAGGTAATAAGTTAACTTTGTACCAAAGTTTTCTCTAGGCTTGTTTTGAGAAGCCCAGATTAAAGTCACAGATCAAAAAAGTAATAATGTTTTATTCAGGTAGTCCTTGGCAAGTTTCCTGTTTGTTAGGAAACAGCTCTGGAGGTTAGCATGATCACAAAAGCTATCTCAGCTAGGTGAGCAGGGAACCTTATATCTTATATTTACACCTTATATTTAGAAAGAAGGAGGGAGAGCAGTCTATGAAGTTCAACGAAGCAGGTGCAATGTCTGTCCTTTGCATACTGAACTGAAACCAGTGTCATAGCCTCATCTGTTCCCACGCAAGGCGTAGCTCTATAATCATTAAAGCAGGCATTGAAGAAATTATCTGAAAAGGTCCATTTACATTTATTTTCCAGTCTATAAAAAGGAAGTATTTTGTTTCTATTTACTTTTTAAATATCCATGTTTAAAAGTTTCTTATGTTTATTACTGGCTGATCAGAAAATAACGTGGACATTTTATAATCACTGAAGTAGATGACGTTCTTCAGGGTGTTAATTAAAACAGATTTTTGAATGATGGTCATGACACCCTTGAGCCTCTTTGGGGAATCTAGAATACTAAGGTAAAACTATCCTGCTAGAAGAGTGTAGAAATATTTTTAATCCTGTGAGAGATAATACCTATATATTCTTGTCTAATTAATCTTAACCAAAAGAAGTTTTCTACGACGTAAATTATAGCTAAATTCTCTTTCTCTCTCTTTTTTTAAGTCCAATCACAATTCAAAGCACTTTGGAATCTTGCTTTGTTTCCTAGTCTCAATCTTACACCTGTAAACCATTTTCAGATGATGAGGGGTCTCTGGGTGTGCCGCAGCAGGACTAAGTTAAAGACAGGCTAAACCTTAAGACCTGTTGTGGGTGTTACTGTCATTCAGTTTGATTGACTTCTCTTAAACCCCTCCCTATTTGATCTTGGGGAAACAGGTGGCTTAATGAACTCCTGGAAGCGCCGCTGGTGTGTCCTCAAGGACGAAACCTTCCTGTGGTTCCGCTCCAAGCAGGAGGCGCTCAAGCAAGGCTGGCTCCACAAAAAAGGCGGAGGTTCCTCTACACTATCCAGGAGAAATTGGAAGAAGCGCTGGTTTGTTCTCCGCCAGTCCAAGCTGATGTACTTTGAAAATGACAGCGAGGAAAAGCTCAAGGGCACCGTAGAAGTCCGGACGGCAAAGTACGTTGATGGAGCCTGGACGTGGCCCGGTTGGGTGGTGCTCTGGGCTGCTCGATCATTTATGCCAACAGTCACAAAGCTACGCTGTGCAAGTTCCTTGCGGCAGTAGACTGTAGTAGGTGTTCAGTGAGTCCCAGTAATTCAGTTCAGTGGATTGAATTATTAGGAAACTGGGAAGCAAGACTTAATCTGTGAATAATTTGCTTTTTGTGCTTATACTCAAACACATGGCTCTCATTTGGAAGGTGGCCAGTTGGGCATATAAATAGCCCATTGGAAGTGTACATATGCAGGGAGAATGGTGTGAATATGGAGCAATTGGTTGAGAGATCTTTTATGGGTCAACATATCACTTTCTGTTCTTTCTCATTCCAGCTGTTAGCCAATAGATAAATTAGCTAAGTTGGGAGTAGACTGACAGTCTCGAGGTGTTTTTTGAGATAAGTCATTGGTCTCCTACCAGTGTTGGGTACACTAGCCATCTGCACTCCCAGCAACGAGAGGAACAGGGCTGGTCTTTGATTCCATCATGACCCCTTATGCCGCCACCACTTTATAGGTCCAAAGTTTTGGACTATTGAGAGCTTATTATTTTTGTTAGAAATTAAGTAATATTTTCAGAAAATTGTTGGAGTTAAGGGCAGCTGGTTTTTTTGGGTAACTAGATACTAATCATGAAAACTTGTTTAAGGGTAACCAGCAGCCACACTCTATTCAAAACCGAGCAACCACAGATATTTAGAAATCTGGTAAAAATAAGCTTTGAGAAATCAAATGAACATCTGAAGTCCTGAAGTCATGAGACTTGAAAATCAAATATTATTTCTCATCAACCAGTGTCAGCAACTTGTGAAAATTATTCACTGGAAAGTAGAAAGTTAAATGAGAAGAAAGTCTTTTCTGCATTTGATTTTGAGGGCAAATGATGAAGTGCAGACAGCAGAGTATTGGACTTTTCCAGGCTGCCCATTTAGGGTTCATTAGGAGCAGGAGGGTGTTTTTGGGAATTCGGGTCTGAATCCTACAACAGCAGGTGTGCACACGCGGGGCAGCTCTGTGGCCTCCTGAGGGCTTCTCAGCCCTACGTACATAATGTTCCTCTTTATTCATCCTGTAGAAGGGCCACAGATGCCAGCGTGCTGAGAGAGAGGGGGGGAGTCATGGTGTTGAATTTCAGCAGAGTAAATTGACACTTTTTTTTTGCAACTCACTTTTGTGGGCGCTTAATAAAGCTCTATTCTTCAGGTGCTTTGTCAAAATTACACAGTTAGGGAAGTGTTAGCTTTTATTCAGCCACTTCTGTCACATTCTGTAGAACAGAGGCAATGACTTGTTAGGGTTTCACCGCATCAGGATTTTGTTTTTCTGTTTTATAATTTTGAAACATTTTATTGATTACACAGTTAGGGAAGTGTTAGCTTTTATTCAGCCACTTCTGTCACATTCTGTAGAACAGGGGCAATGACTTGTTAGGGTTTCACCGCATCAGGATTTTGTTTTTCTGTTTTATAATTTTGAAACATTTTATTGTAGATAATTGCAATCATGAGAAGAATATAACAAAACACATGTACTCATTACAGAGCGTTCGGTGCTCGTCCACCCATGGCCAAGAGTGTTTCATCCATGACCCCACCTGGCCCACTCCCCCAACAAACTGCATTACTTTAAAGCAAGTTCCTGACATCACATAATTTCATCTATAAATATTTTAGTATGCATTTAAAGAGTCTTTCAAATACATAATCACAGTACCATTATCACATTTAAAAAATTTTATCTCCTGATCTAAACACCAGTCATTGTTCAGATTCCCCAGTTGTCTTATAAATGGAGGTGATAGTAGTGTTCTTGTTGGTTTGGGTTGTTTTTACAGTTTCTTTCTTCAAATCAGAATCCAAAGAAGGTCTAGGCTTTGTAGTTGGTTTTTAGATCACTCAAGTCTCTCTTAATTTATAGATCCCCCTGCATCTTTTCTCTCATTTGCTATTTATAACTGAAGATGCTCGCTCATGTATGCTGTGGTTTCCAGACTTCAGATTGCACATCGGTGCCTTGTGTACCGTGTTCCTCTTTCTCGCTTATTTCTCATGAACTGGTAGTTAGATCTAGAGGGTGATCCAGTTCAAGTTTTCTTTCCCTGCACCATGACTTCTTAGGTGATGCTGTCTATTTCTATCAGAAGCCATATAATGGCCAGTGTCACTTTCTTGAAGTTGTCATAATTGTCGATTATTGCCTACTGCTGTTAATTCATTAGGGGTCGCAAAATGTTTGTATTCATTTATTAGCTAGAATATTTCTATAAAGAGAAACTTCTCCTAATCAGATAAGTGGTTACCCTAAGGTACAGTTTGCATAGGAAAGGAAAAATAAGTGCTTGGGTTTTTTTTGAGCAGCTGGCTGGTACAGGGATCCAAATCTGTGACCTTGGTGTTATGCAGCTGTGCTCTAACCAACTGAGCTAACTGGCCAGCCCACTTGATTTTTTAAATTTTTTTCTCTCAGTTTCTAGAAGAATGAATGGGTTCCCTTGCATACTCCAGTGACAGCAACCTAGGTTGTATTAATTTATTGATTTTTCCAAGTGTCAGTATGAGCTCATGGACTTTCACATATCAAGTGGGTTTCTAGCCACTTCAGCTATTCTTCTGATGTTCACATCAGCCCCATCTTGTCCAGGAGGAGCCTCATCTTCTTCCTTTGATGAAATCCTGGTAATTTTTGATAGTTTCCTTGCTTTCTGATATGACGAGATGTTCCCTACCTCCTTTTAAGATTCAGGCTCTGTCAGCAGAAGCCCTCCTGAATGTTTGCTTTATGATTTTGAACGTCCGGCTTTGGGGAGGAGTTCTGAATTAGGGCCTGGCTACATCATTGTAGCCCTGACACTGTTGTCATCATTTCCTTCCCCATGTCAGGGAAGCTTCTTGTGAGTACACATCCCTGCCCCAACCCTGTGGAGCCCCACCCTGTGTTTCTGGATGTTTCCTAGGATTCTGACGGGCCCTGTGGTTCAGAACCTCAGCCTTGCAGCTAGATCATAGGGTCTCACCCTCCTCATTTTACACATGAGGAATCCGAGTTCCTGACAGGGAAAGTGGCTGGTCCAAGGTGACGTGGTCAGGACGATTTTCCCTGGGGATTATTTTCTTGCCCAGGAGGCTCCATTGCCAAACCTGCTGTGCAAATTATTATCTTCCTGGTTTTCTAGTTTTTTAAATATTTTATTTCATTGATTCTAGCTATAAGGTAATACGATATTTATTTTTCCTTACCAGTTAGACTGTTTTTATTTTGTTGATGTAAAATAAGTGTTTTTACTGGAACAATTGTATGACCTCAGGTGTCAAGGCAATCTGGTTTCAGCCCCAAGACTGTTCTTCATTAAATACATTATCATCTCTTGTCTGTTCCTAACATCTGCTTATGTTTTACCCTGACTTTGTTAACACAGTCCACCAATTTTATTCGTCTAGTGTTGCTTAGGGAGTGTTGGGGTGAGATCAAAATGGTTTGAGATCCAGAAACACCCAAATCCTGCTCTTCACTCCCAGAGCCCCTGATGGAACTAACATGCCTGTGTCAGGTAGAGTAAGTCAGAGACACCAGCCAAGGCCTTACACTGTGATAAACTAGGGGCAGAGCTCACACCAGACTAGGTCGCTCTTTGGGTTTCCCTCCATTGCGGCTGAGAGAGAGTAGCCACAGTAAGTTGCGGCAGGAGTGGGGGCTGCTGCCCCAGCCTCTCTAGGGCCTGAGCAGGGGTGGGCATTGGGTGGACAGTGAAAAGAGCGAGGCCCCTCCCTAGAGAAATCAAGGGAATACCCCTCACCCTGGCCACAACTGCAGCCCCCCTTCCCCTGGCAGCAGAGAGGAGCCTGGCTTCCTCTGGAGGTGACAAGAGTCTTCATTATTTCTAAAAGAAAAAGTAAGGCTGATGTAAGTACACAGCTTCTTTGTTTACAGTTTCCAGCTCAATCGTTAGTTTTGCCAAATTACTTTTCTCAGTTATTACTAAGAATTCTGTGTTCCTGATTTATGTGTGTTGCTTTTGTGCCTTTGCAGAGAGATCATAGATAACACCAGCAAAGAGAATGGGATTGATATCATTATGGCCGATAGGACCTTCCACCTGATCGCCGAGTCCCCGGAAGATGCCAGGTGAGATCTGTACTGTCAAGTTCATCATACCCACATCCTCCCTTGTGCACAGGCGTGATCATCACACACAGCACTGGGAACCCTAGTGGCTTTGAAAAGATCTTGATTGATTTTCTAGTTGGTTTTCCTATTAGCATGGTTGAAGAACCGAGAGTCATGAGATATTTATGGACTTGTCCCTTGAGGAATGTTTCCCTGATCGGATGTGTTCGGTACAGCATAGAGTTCAGGATTTCCAGCCTTAAATCCTCTAGACAGACCCCTTGTTATCTGAGCTCCGGCTTTTATCGTCACTAGCAGCATGTGTAAACCATGCAGCTGAAAGCCCAACCTCTGGAAGCTGCTGAGCTTTGAAAGTGAACAGCTTGTGTTTGCATAAGGATGGAAAGAGCAGGGAGCATTAGCCAGAGGCCATTCGAAAAATGATAATGCTATGGCATTTGGAGGGTTTTAAAGATCTCAAAGAAGCTAGCACAAAAAAAGAAAAAAAAAGATCTCGATGCTGAAGCATTCAATAGGAGAGAGATTAACTTACAAAGAACTTAACTATATTTGATGCAATATTCTAAAATGCTTCTTCACATATATTAACTCATTTAATTCTCATGGCAATCCTGTGTGGTAGGTATTATTACTACCACATTTTGCAGAGTGGGAGATTGAGGTACAGAGAAAGGATAGTATACTTTGTTATGTGATACAAGCACAGTTCTACTGAAGGAGGCACTAAGCATCTTACGTTTAATTTTGGACTGAGACCGAGGACAGCCGTGTCCCTCATCGGCTGGGGCAAGTTGTCTGACTTCTGGGTCTCAGATTTCCATCATGGTGTGCTGAAGAGATGTAGCACAAAATTAAGGAGAATGGGTATTTGCTCTTCGGTGTGCTGCATCTCAAGGTCACATAGTAGATGTGACCCAGTGAAGCATCTGTCCGGTCTATTCCTGCTCTTTGTGATTCTGTAGGGTTTTGTTGGAGGTGTCTGTCATCTGCTCTGAGCAATGCTTGGAAAACATCTTCTAATTTATGAGGGTAACATCCAAGGGCCTATATTCTTCAATTCTCAGCCCAGAAATTATTAGAACCTTTTAGTGAGTCCTCAGGACTTCTCACTACCTCTTGCCCTTTGAATGTTTCTGAGTTGATACAACACCATGGTAGCAGTGTTAAGGGTAAAGACACCAGTAAATAATTCTTCCCATGGGAACAAACTAAAACCCTGCATGGACCCATAAATTATAACACAAACTGGAAAAACAAGCAAGCCTGGAATTATAGCCCCATCATTCTGTCTGGGACTCCTAGAGACCACGTGTGGTTTTTTTTTTTTTTGTGGTCCAGGAAATGCCCACAGCTTTTCAGCTGAATTATAGGCCCAGCGTTTGGCAGCTATCCTGTCCATTTTATGCTATAATGAACCTGCTAAATTTAACATTTGGAATATTTTAGCCAAGGACTTTTTCCCCTGGCCAGTGGAACACATTTTTGAAAATCCCTTTTCAGATTCCAAGTTATACTTCATTCAAGAGAAGAAATTTGTAAATTTAAGAGCATTATCTGTACTGATTGAAAGTATAGCAAATTTTATTCCTTTGTATGTGTGATTCTGTGTGGCCTACATTTTGAATGTGCTTGTTTTTCAGTGTTTGATTTGGGATATTTTTGAGCTTAGTAAAACAATGACTGAAGTCTTGTCTTTTGGTTAACCAAAATTGATGAAATAAATTCATATTAAGGTGTTCTCTTAATATGAATTGTTAATATGAATTCCCTGTTAATATTATGAATTCCTTAACATTATACAGACTCTTCCTGAGAGTCTTATATATTGATTATTTTCAAGCTATTGGTCACATTTTTTTTTCAGGAATCACAGCAGATAGATTTTAGTGTTTTGCTCTAAATAATTTACATGGCCACCTTTACATATGGGTGTTATTTTTTCATCTAAATATTTCATTGCATACCAAGTGCTTTTCCCTCTGCCCTGTTTAGTAAGAGTGTTGTCTGTATGTCGTATTAGCCCCTGCAGAAGAAAATGCCCCAACATCTCTCACATTTGGTACCTCTTCACATTTTGTAGTTGCTTAGTAAATGTTGGATGGACGGATGGCTGTTTATGGTCATGTTCCTCACACGTGTATTGTGTTTCTAGTTACATCATGACATTCGTTCATGATTTTTCTGGAGTCGACATATTTTCCTTTATGCTCTGATTCTGATGAGACTGCAAGTGAGAAAACACATTTGGAATGAAGATGGAGGCGTTCTCTGGTCAAAATTTTCTCCTTTCTACTGCAAGCAGTTGTTTTGATTTCCATCTTGAATATGGTTTTATTCATTTGAACAGAAATCCTATCAGGTGGATGGAAACCCTGTCCTGGAAATGACTAGAGAAATGGGTATCACGTGGCCATCCTGAGATGGGACCTGCTGCATTATTAACCTTCTAATTTTGAAATTTATTTTCAAAAAAAGAAAAGTCACCTGAATGCCCCCTAGATTATAAATAATATCTTCACTAAAGATCCTCGATATGAGTATTTTGGGTAGAACTAAGGATTTCATTATTTGCTGCCAATTTCTCAAGGAATGCATTGTCATCGTCAGCAGGTATCTGTAAAGGTCTGTGGGACCTGGGGGAAGAGTCTTCCATTGACCTAAAGTTAAACATAGGGTACTTAGGGCTACTCTGGCTGCTGCTTTTAACTTTGCTTCTTGGTGGTATGAAACCCACATTTACCCGTGAGAATTAGGCAGATGAAAAGCTAAAGGTCCCCAGAAGTCATTTCACAGAGGAGAAGGGTGCCCTTGACCTGCCAGTGCAGAGGTTGGCTGCTCTGTGACGGTGGCTCTCTCTTCCCCACAGCCAGTGGTTCAGCGTGCTCAGTCAGGTCCACGCGTCCACCGACCAGGAGATTCGGGAGATGCACGACGAGCAGGCGAACCCGCAGAACGCCGTGGTGTGTGAGCGCGGGCCGGGTGGGGGCCGGGGACGGAAATCGTCATGGGAGAAAGGGCAGGACTGGGAATTTCCAGATTTTTTTTTTTTTTTTAATTAAAAAAATTTTTTTTTCTAAAAGATGACCGGTAGGGGATCTTAACCCTTGACTTGGTGTTGTCAGCACCACGCTCTCCCAAGTGAGGTAACCGACGATCCCTATATGGGATCCGAACCCGGGGCCTTGGTGTTATCAGCACCACACTCTCCCAAGTGAGCCATGGGCCGGCCCAGATTTTTTTTTTTAAAGTAAGAGATAATAATAAAAGAGAAAAACATGACCATTTGGGTTAAAGATTATGCATAAAAAAAATAAAGTCTAGAATGTTACAAGTGGCAGTCCATCCTTATTTATTCTCTCACCTCAAACCCTTCAAAGAACCAAAAAAAAAAAAAATGGCTAATTTCCCTGAAGACCTGGAAGCACTTTATACTTTTTCTTCAAAGGACTTGGTATATTCTAAATTGTATTAAATTCTGAATTGAGTTCTTTCTGTCTTCACTCTATCCTAGACACATGTACAAAGTCATAAAATCCTATTTTAGAAATAAAGTTCTATTTCCTCAAAAGAAAATCTTAGAATCAAATGAGTTTCTTAGCACAATAACTGTAAAATTTAATTTGAGGTCGCAGTATAAATCAGCACATTTGCTATTGAGAGAAGTTCATAAATGCTCTTCACTGAACAAGAGGGAATGATTAATTGATAATTTTTTTGAATAAATGGGCTGTAGATTCTGCCCTGTTAAGAGGCTGTCAGTATTCACTAAAAGGCGGTGACCTTTGTTAGAAAACTATTATTTTGCAGTTAACTAAAATAGGAGACTTTTTTGTTTGCTTAAGGAGTAGTAATCAAGGGAAATGACTAAAATGTGCGCCCTACTTTAGGGGTTCTCTCACGCTGTCTACCCTTTGCTCTTTTCCAGGGCACTTTGGATGTGGGGCTGATTGATTCCGTGTGCGCCTCCGACAGCCCCGATAGGTAAGCTCAGATGTAACAAGTGTAATCAATCACCTGCACAGGCCCACAGGTCTGTATGCGGCTGGGGTCCCCTTTCCTGGGCTGTGAAAACCACACTAGGCTGTGTGTTCCTAACTCATCAACCTCAGCAGTCCAAGCTCTTCCTCTCTGGGTGTCTTTGGAGGGCTGGGGGAAACAGTGGAAACCTCATTTAGATAATTAGAAAAACCTAAAAGAAATATTCTTCATTTGGACACAGGGATGAACTTGGTATTCATACAGGAAGAAAACGCCTGTTTAGGAAAATGATATTCCAGCACAGGGCAGGTGTACTTCCCCTTTCTAAACTTAATAATGAACTTGAAAAGGATTTAAAGATAATGTAGAGTGTTAATAAATCAAACTATAAACATTTCCTTGACATTTCTGCTTTCTCTGCACCCTTAACATAGCATGTTTTTGGTTTGGTTTTGTTTTGTTTTTGAAGGCAAATTACCTTCAGAGGTGGTCTTAGGAGTCTTAGTCCCAGTGAGCTTTATCTTCATCATCTCTATTTTTCTTTGCTGCTCACAAATTCTGTTTCTGGCCTGCAGCAGACTTTAAGGAAAGTTTCTCGGGCTGGCCGGGTTAGCTCACTTGGTTAGAGCATGATGCTGATAACACCAAGGTCCAGGGTCCATATCCCAGCATCAGGCTCCTTTCTTACCTTTTCTGCCTCTTTATTCTCCCAAACCCCTTCAGTCCACCCGGCTGGGCCTGGGTTGATCCGTGCTTAGCTCTTTGCATCCTTGCTCAGGTTTTTCTCCTTTCCTCACCTCCCACCTCTCTCCCTTCCCAACTAAAGAAAAATCTTTTTTTTTTAATTTTTAAGGAGCACCTCATAGCTTTTTGCATAGCTTTCCCTGCCAACTACAGTCCAGTTAATCGTCTTTTTCTTGAACTTTTGTAGCACTTAACTACAGTGAACATTTGAAAACTTGCAAGAAAGTGTTCACAAAAAGGGGGGGAGGTGGAGTAAATTTCCATCATCATGTTATCCATGACTGGGAAATGCATCCTCGTTAGATTGCTTTGAAAACACGGACCCAGGTGGCTTTTTGTACCAGGCATGATGAAGTGTGTAAGTTGTTCCACTTACTCCTATTTACTGATCCTCTTCTATTACTGGTGTCCGACATTTCATTACCAACCCACAGAAATATTACCCAAGGCAGACAGAAATTGACTTTGGAGAGGCATCAAAAAAAACTTTTTCCCCAAGGTCACCTTATTTAGCCTTCCCGGAACTGAGTCTCATCTGGAAAGTTTTGCATGAGGAAATGTTTTCCTTTCCAGGTCCTTCAGAATGATGTGTTGCTCCAAGTTTAAAGGTTAATGATGCATAAAATAAATCCTGCAGGAATGAGCAAGGTTTGCCTTAATATAAAATACAAATAGTATAGCAGTGTGTATCCCTGGAACCCACACACCAGGGAAAAGGCATTTAGTCCTGGTTCAGATTGAGGTGATGCCGACAGAAGAGCTAAGAGGTTTTGCTTGCTTCTCCCCTGTCACTCAGACCCAATTCTTTTGTGATCATCACGGCCAACCGGGTGCTGCACTGCAACGCCGACACGCCAGAGGAGATGCACCACTGGATCACGCTGCTGCAGAGGTCCAAGGGGGACACCAGAGTGGAGGGCCAGGAATTCATAGTGAGAGGTGACTGTCTGAAATCGTGGACTCCTGATTTCATTTGCAGCAATATCTGCAGCCTTTTTATTTTGAGCAGCTTTACCGAGCCATTTTGACCCATGAAACTTTAAAAAAATAATCAAATAAGGAACGATGGTGGCCATTTTCTGGCAAAATAGATAGAAACGTGACCCACTTGTAACTATTACACAAGTGATTGGTGTCTGGGGTTTCTCTTGATAGTTTTAATTTACGCCTGAACCTTCCTTTCCAGGGTGGTTGCACAAAGAAGTAAAGAACAGTCCGAAGCTGTCCTCCCTGAAACTGAAGAAACGGTGGTTTGTGCTGACTCACAATTCCCTGGATTACTACAAGAGCTCAGAGAAGAACGCTCTGAAGTTGGGCACGCTGGTCCTCAACAGCCTCTGCTCGGTCGTACCTCCCGACGAGAAGATCTTCAAAGAAACAGGTATCCAGGCCGCGTGCTCGCACCTGGCTCGTGCTTGAAAGGTCTAGGCTGGCTCTGAGCAAAGGAAAGAGCTTCCTCCCTAGAGAATGTAATTCCCGCCCCCGCCCCCCCAAAGAACCTCTTCTTCTGTTTATTTGTCTGTGGGTAGCTGTATGAACATGTAGTATTTAAACATAGTAGAGAGGTCTTGATTTATGGACTTGTAAGGTTTCTATAAGGACAAGGAAATGTAAACAGATGCAGATCATCCACAGAAAGCTTTGTTTTTATATGTTTGTGTTTTCATTTTTTTCACCGTGAGAGTCATATTGCAACCTATAAAAGAGAAATTCTGACTGTCCGTAAACTTAGCCTAGTGGCATGAAAAGCAGACATGTAAGCTTACAGGTTTGTTTTGTTTCATTTTGTTTTTGTGATATTATGAAGTGTTTCTAGAAGATTATTTATTTTTTATTTTTGGTGCTAGTTGTGATTTTTATGTTTTTTTCAGACATAGTTGCTCCATTCCTGACGGATCGGGGTGATGGTTCAGACAGCTTGTTTGCGAACACACAGGCTGCTTAGCACAAGCGTTTTCTTCTGCAGGGAGAGGGGAAGAAACAGGAAGGGAGAAGCAAAGTGGGAAATCTGAGGGAAGAATTTTCACTCTGGCACAGGAGCCCAGAAAGGGGCATTAGCATACACCTGTCTCTTTCAGAGCACATGTTATTGTTTATCTTTATTATTATGTACATAATTCTGGGTTTATTGTTAAATGTTTGTCTTCCTCTCTCAGCTGTAAACTCCACGATACAAGGGACAAGTTTCTTGTCTGTCACCGGATGCATCATGCATGGCACAGCACATGTAGGAATTCAGCAAGTGTTTATTGAATTAAATAACTGATTAATGTAAAGGGGCTCAGGTCACAGACAACATAGGCTTCTACTGATGCTGAATTTCTGGAACAAGGTCACCTCGGTCCCAGATGTTAACGTGTGTGCTGCTGCTGTTTCAGGCTACTGGAACGTCACCGTGTATGGGCGCAAGCACTGTTACCGGCTCTACACCAAGCTGCTCAATGAGGCCACCAGGTGGTCCAGCGCCATTCAAAATGTGACTGACACCAAGGCCCCGATTGACACCCCCACCCAGCAGCTGATTCAAGATATCAAGGTAAGAGTAGCTCACAGATTCTACCCTTGGGATATCAAGACCTCAACATCAGTCAAGCTCAATTTTCATTCTCCAGTCAAAACTAGCACTTGGTTAATTTTGTATGTGAGTATCTCTGCTTTTAGGAATCTAAGTGTAAGATTTTAGGTGAAATTTTACACTAAAAGTATTTTGTCTCTAGAGAGGTGTGAGATGCTGCTGCTAAGGCAAACCCAGCTCTTGGGCACTGCAGGCAGAAGGACAATGACCTGCAGTTTGGGCTACGGGGCTCCCCCATCACAGGGACCTGGTGGTCTGTGTTGGGGATAGCCTGCTTTGCCACAAGTTTCACCTCGGCCCTGGTTTGGGACCTTTTAGGAGAAACACAATAATTCTATTCTCACTGTACAGTTTCTAGACCGCACAGGTGGATTCAGAAAGAGCCTAGGCTGGTCTGCAACACTTGAACTCCCCATCAGACACCTCCAGACATCCAGAAGCTCCCAAGTCTCTGGAATAACAGTGATCATGTTACGCTGTAATTTCCTGTTTATATAGTTAGTTGCTCAATAAATCTATGTGGAATGAATGAGTGCATGATTCAGTGGCAGCCATGAGCAAGGAAGATTACGCTCATTTTCTGGGAACGGAAAAGAAGACATGGGCTATTCTGGTTCCATTGCCTACATAGCCGGTCAGTCCCTAATGCAGAACCAGGTCAGGGGAATTATTTTGACTACTGTTTCTCCAAGTTACCGGTGCAGGCACATTCCCAAGGCAAAGGAAAGAACTGGAGCTGTGACAGGAAAGATGTTGGCATACTAGCGAGGCAGGTATTTTACTGATGTCATCAAAGGGAACCAGCTAATTGGATCCAGGAGGCAGCTGCTTTTGTGGAGGTGGGAGAGGGTGAAGGATATAGTATATAACTTCCCACCAAATTAGAGTTGGCATCCTGATTCCAAGGTGATATGTTTTCTGGGTATTTGGAGCCAAATTCCAGCAAGTCAGCTATTTTCCAACACTCCAGACCCTTTCATGGAACCCAGGGTGCCAGATACAAATAATTTCATTTTTAGCCTTAAAAAAAATTATTTTTTGAATGTTTCTTTTGAGAAAGGAGTAAAAAATCTCACATAGCCATACTTTCTCTTCAAATCTGTATCTTAATCTATTTTTGTATTCTCTAATTGATTTGAATTCAGACATTGACAGAGTAAACAGAATTTTCCAAACATGAAAGCTTGCTTTTCACAAAATGAGACAAGTTACCCTAATTAAGTCCATGTAAATTTTTTTAAGTTTTTTTTCTGGCTTTCAATCGGATATTACTGAACAAGTTTCATAGTGGAAATGAAATTTTCACGATAGAATGATTTATTGCTGCTCCTCCAGATTCTCTGTTTATTTAAAGTTCTAAAAGTAACTTTGGCTTTTCATATCCCAGATTAATATTTTAGGAGCATAAATACATGATGTAATTCTGTGAGATGTCTCATAAATTTCAAGGGTGGATGGGCAGGCAGGCACGGTGAAAAATAAGTCTCCCCAAGAACATATTAGGAGGTGTGGAGTTTTCAGGTGTAGAGAGAATACCAAAGAACAATTAAAGAAGTAGCAAAATATTTTTTAAATGAATTATAGATACCGATAACATGATTCGGCTACATGATTGATAGCTAATTCATTAACAAGAGAAGTTAATTTTAAAATTTATAATTTTCATAGGGAAAATTTTTGGATGACATGGGAAAATATACACACATGAAATGAAGAGAGTGAGCTGTGTAAGAAAAATGCATTTCTGTGATTTATCCTCAAATGCAGATTGTGGGTGTCTTCGTGCTGATCAGCACTGGATTCCCACCACCATCACCCCACTAGGCTTACGGATGTTTGAGACTTGAAAAATATTCATGGATAGAAAAATCTAGTTGATTTTGTTTGCTTAGGTATCTATCTATATCTTTTTTACAGTAAACTTCATTTCTTTGTTGTAATGGCTCCTTTATTTTCAAGGAGAACTGCCTGAACTCGGATGTGGTGGAGCAGATCTACAAGCGGAACCCGATCCTTCGATATACCCATCACCCCCTGCATTCTCCACTGCTGCCGCTTCCCTACGGAGACATAAATCTCAACTGTAAGTGCAGAATTCCACCTGGGCTCCTCAGAGACCGTGATTTTGTTTTCCCTACTAACTCCACAGTTCTAACATACTAGCATTTGTTTTAACTCAAAGATTCTTTTTGTCGTCATTATTAAAAAGGCAAAATAACTCATTCATTACTAAAGTAGGGATTTCAGAGTTTGGTTGTAGGAAGGCAAGGATTATAGTAGTAAAAGAAGGAACTTAAAGGGGAATCAGAAAGTACCAGCACTTCCCATGAACTCAGAGTAGCCTTTATGTACCAGAGAACCAGATCCTCAATGATTTGGCATTCCAAATATGGAAGCAAGTACCAGCACTTCCCATGAACTCAGAGTAGCCTTTATGTACCAGAGAACCAGATCCTCAACGATTTGGCATTCCAAATATGGAAGCTGTTTGGCAACAGACTAGCTTTTAAGCAAGCATTTTATGTAATTAAAAAGCTCAGTTATATGACACAACAGTGCACATCACCCACATCTGTGTTTTTATAGCGTTGTTTGGCTGATTCTAATGTGCAGGGAATGTGGCGGCCACTGCATCATGAAGTAGCCATTCGACCCCATTCATTGCTTCCCCTTGTCTACTGCCGGATGATACCTTCTCGAACCCCTGGTGCAACTTCTGCATCTTTTGTTTTTCCTAGTGCTCAAAGATAAAGGCTACACAACCCTTCAGGATGAAGCCATCAAGATATTCAATTCCCTTCAGCAACTGGAATCCATGTCTGACCCTATTCCAATAATCCAGGGCATCCTACAGACAGGGCATGACCTCCGACCTCTGCGAGATGAGCTGTATTGCCAACTCATCAAACAGACCAACAAAGTGCCCCATCCCGGCAGCGTGGGCAACCTGTACAGCTGGCAGATCCTGACATGCCTGAGCTGCACCTTTCTGCCAAGTCGAGGGATTCTCAAGTATCTCAAGTTCCATCTGAAAAGGTAAAGCAATTGCTCCTGCAGGAGGTGCAGTGGGTCCCGGGTCAGATAAAGGGGATCGTGAAGACCATGAACAGAGGGCACATAGGTCAGGGACCTCCGGGTCAGACTCTTAGGTCAATTGAGCAAGCCTATAGAATGCAAACATCCTTTTTCTCTTTAAGCCACACAAAGCTATTTCAAGGATGAAGTCCCTCTTGGTGTAGTGTCCTAATAATAGGATATTTGGATAAATTTAATTACCACTACTCTATAGAAATAGAAGAGAAAACAACTTGGACATTTGTTCCAGATCAGATAGGTAGAAACAGTCAGATTAAGATTTTGGTTAACTCTGGGAGAACAGTTTTCATATGGCAGCATGAGCCAGGACTCTTTCAAATTTCACAGAGCTGCAGAGGTGAGCTGGCAGCCACAGTGCTCTTAGTCATACCTTGGCTCTGTGGTTTTTGTGTTTAAACTGAACCTGCATGGGGTGAACTGAGGCCCCGGCCAGGAAGCCACTGGCATTTGCTCCGTTTGCCACTGGGGGGCCCGTTTACCACGTTGAGCTGCAAAACGTTGACACAGCTCAGCTCCCAGCAGTCAGCCATCCGCAGTCTAGCAATTAACGGTCAGTGTTTGTCTCCTAGGATACGGGAACAGTTTCCGGGGACCGAGATGGAAAAATACGCCCTCTTCATTTATGAATCTCTTAAGAAAACAAAATGCAGAGAGTTTGTGCCTTCCCGAGATGAAATAGAAGCTCTGATCCACAGGCAGGAAATGACATCCACAGTGTATTGCCATGGCGGAGGCTCCTGCAAGATCACCATCAACTCCCACACTACAGCTGGGGAGGTGAGGGGTGGCTGCTGCTTCTCATTCTGTGTGACGTGTGACTGCACATACGCTGAAGGCAGGAAAGCTGTGCCTCAGTAGAGCGCCCAGCATGCACAGCGCAGTTTGCACAGCACAGCTGCTCAATAAACAAGGAAATCAGTGCAACCTGCAACCAACCACATGTATACAGAGATAAAAATATGTATCAAAGACGAGTGGAAACACGAAGTTAAACTCATGCCAAAGTATCTGAGACATACTGCTGCTAACCTGAGAAGCAGCTGAGTATCTAGTAGAGATGGCATCTTGACCGAGGGGTGTCTGCCAACAGGGTGTATTTTATCACTTCTACGACGAGATGTTTCTCTTTGCCATGTGAACATCTAGAACATTGGGTCAGATGAACACATTTTCCTTTTAAATTTAAACTTGCTGTTATAAAACATATTGGCTAGAAAGAAAAGTGCAGTAAAACCCTGAAAGGCTTGTAGAAGAAACAGTTCTTGGCGTTTGTGAATTCATCAGATAGAAGGCAGGACTTTAGCTTTCATTCACTTTTCCTATTAGTGTATACGTTTGCAAGAAATTAGCCCAACATCTGCCCCTACTGATAGGCAAGATACCCCGTGTTCTTTTGGCAAGGAAGAGATAAAAGTAATTCCAAGAGAGCCAGGGAAAAGCAGCACCTTTGAAATTCTGGGGTGACTGCACATGACGGTTTTAGGAGGCTGCTTACAGAGCCCTTGTGCCAGCAGCTCCCTCTGGGTGGGGAGGAAGGCACATCTGGAACCACATGTGGGGACCACAGCCTGTGGAGCTGAAGGTTGCCATGTCTTGCAGGTAGTGGAGAAGCTGATCAGAGGCCTGGCGATGGAGGACAGCAGGAACATGTTCGCCTTGTTTGAGTACAACGGACACATGGACAAAGCCATTGAAAGCCGAACCATCGTAGCTGACGTCTTAGCAAAGTTTGAAAAGTAAGTTCCTTCTCCCAAAAGTGCCAAAAGCGTCAATAAAAGTAAGAGCAAGAACTGAGGATTTGAATGTCCATCCCATGTTCTGCTTCACTGTGTATGTGAGTTAGTTTAATTTTACCTGTGTTGAAGCATATTTAGTTTTTGTCTCTCTTTGCTAGCTGTTTTTCTTGATTCCTAGATAAAGCCATGGTCTCAAATATGGTTTAACTTCTTGGTGGTATTTTGCCCCTATTTTTTCCCTCAGTCCTCTGTTGTACTCATTATATTGGAATTTCTTGATTCTTAGGTTTTCACTTGTCATTAGCTTTGAGGGTCAGCTGATAGACTCAGGCCAACTTATCAACTTTTCAAACTACATTTTATATCTACAACATAAAATGGACCCACAATATCAGACCTGCAATATCTGGTGTTTTGTCTTTATATTCCCTGAGTAGCACAAAAGATACTTCTGGTCAGTATAAACAACAGACCCCCCCACAAAAATATTTATATCAATGTTTATAAATGTTATTGTAATTTCTTTGCGGGTTGGTAAAGGAAATGAAGAAACGGCTTTTGGTTTTTTCTTTGTCTGCATTCAGCACAGTGCTTAGCTAGTACTAATTAGATTGGGGCCTTCAGAAAACACTTGTTACCTTCATTTACTAAAGGCTGTCCATTTGTTTTCTTAAAGTGAGCCCAGGATGAAATGTGGGTTTTTCACCTCTGATTAGATACAATGACTAAGGAACTCTGAGAAGCCTTTCTGTTCTTCAGTCTTCTGCTCTGTGCCCATCTCCACCCACACTGTTATCTGAGCTTGGGCAGAATGTCTGTATCCTGCCAGAGAATAAAGCATGTAGAGTCAGCTTCCTGCGGGTCACCGGAGGCCCACCTCTTGCTTTGCTTTCTGAGTCTCTCTTGACTTCTGTAGGCTGGCTGCCACCTCAGAGGCGGGGGACCTGCCGTGGAAGTTCTACTTCAAACTTTACTGCTTCCTGGACACAGACAACGTGCCAAAAGACAGTGTGGAATTTGCATTTATGTTTGAACAGGTAAAAGGAACTTTTGTGGACACGTAAGGGGTGAAACCCATGTATGAATGTATAATATACCTTATAAAGTAACTGCTGATTTTTAGAAATGATGCATGGCAGATGTTCAAGCAGACAAGGCTGGCCGCTGTTTCATTCATTTGTAGAATGAAACTGCTACACGTTTTATTTGAATTCTTGTGCCAGGAACTGTTGCAGTTGAGAGGAGAGGAGCCATAAGGAGTAAAATATGTGGCATGTGTTAGACAGTGTCTGTGCTCAGGAGAAATTTAAACTTGCAGCAGTGAAGGGGTGGGGGGGTTAGGGTACAATTTTGAACAGGGGAATAAGGGAAGGTGGCGTTTAAGAGAAGTCCGGATGGAGTGAGGGAGTGAGCCATGTGGGCATCGTGCAGCACAGCAGTGTCTTGACCATAAAGCTATTGACTGCATCCCTTCAGGCCCATGAAGCAGTGATCCATGGCCACCATCCAGCCCCTGAAGAAAACCTCCAGGTTCTGGCTGCCTTGCGCCTCCAGTACCTGCAGGGGGATTATACTCTGCACGCTGCAGTCCCACCTCTCGAAGAGGTTTATTCCCTGCAGAGACTTAAGGCCCGCATCAGCCAGTCAACCAAAAGCTTCACCCCGTGCGAGCGGCTGGAGAAGAGGCGGACGAGTTTCCTGGAGGGGACACTGAGGCGGAGCTTCCGGACGGGCTCCGTCGTACGGCAGAAGGTCGAGGAGGAGCAGATGGTGGACATGTGGATTAAGGAAGAAGTCTCCTCTGCTCGGGCCAGTATCATTGACAAGTGGAAGAAATTTCAGGGAATGAACCAGGAACAGGCCATGGCCAAGTACATGGTTTTGATCAAGGAATGGCCTGGCTACGGGTCGACACTCTTTGATGTGGAGGTGAGAACTGGCCGTTGTACGTTGTGGGCAGGCAGGTGCTGCTTCGTGGATGAGGCTGAGTCTCAGAACAGAATCGTGGCCAACTTCGTGTGGTGGGAGGACAAGATGGAGCACTTTGCTCTCACCCTCTTTTGTTAGAGCCCCTCACATTTTAGCATTAACATCCTCCCACATCCCCCAAAGTTTTTCTCCCCCTTTGTGGTAAGGACTTCTGTAATATTAGTAATGAATGCAAAACTGGGATGTCATCTGTTCTTAAATAATTTCTATTATTTCTTATGGCAGCTATAGATCTAATTTTTNATTGACAAGTGGAAGAAATTTCAGGGAATGAACCAGGAACAGGCCATGGCCAAGTACATGGCTTTGATCAAGGAATGGCCTGGCTACGGGTCGACGCTCTTTGATGTGGAGGTGAGAACTGGCCGTTGTACGTTGTGGGCAGGCAGGTGCTGCTTCGTGGACGAGGCTGAGTCTCAGAACAGAATCGTGGCCAACTTCGTGTGGTGGGAGGACAAGATGGAGCACTTTGCTCTCACCCTCTTTTGTTAGAGCCCCTCACATTTTAGCATTAACATCCTCCCACATCCCCAAAAGTTTTTCTCCCCCTTTGTGGTAAGGGCTTCTGTAATATTAGTAATGAATGCAAAACTGAGATGTCATCTGTTCTTAAATAATTTCTATTATTTCTTATGGCAGCTATAGATCTAATTTTTTAATGCTGGTAAAAAATCTTCTTTTTAAAAAGATCCAAAAAAATTTAGAAACTCTGAGTAGGACTTGCATTTTACTTTTTTGTTTTTCCACCATGACCATCTGTTTGAGGGGGGAAGAATTTTTGTTTCATGATTGGAATTGAACCATTAACATCAACACAGAACTGATTTGTATTTTTTTTTTAAGTAGGCCACTTATTGAAAGGAAATTTCACTAATGATCTAGAGGAGGGTTTGGCAAACTATGGCCTGTAGGTCAAATCCTGCCTACCTCCTTTTTTGTAAATAAAGTTGTACTGAAACACAGCCACGTTCATTCCTCTATATACAGCAGACCCTTGAAAAATGCAGGGATTAGGGGCACTGACACCCTGCACAGTCAGAAACTCACATAAGACTTTGAACTGCCCCAAAACTTAATTACTTAACTACTACTTAAGTAAGTAGCCCACTTCCCCCCAGATCATGGCCACACTGCATGTCCCGATGGGGAGGGGGTGTCATTACATAAGTAGCAAAGTTGTTAATAATAGCCTACTTAACTGAATGCATGACATACCTAACCAAAAATTTTCCAATGTATTTATTGAAAAAAATTTGTGTGCAAGTGGACCCACATAGTCCAAACCTGTGTTGTTCAACTGTATTTTCTTTTTTTTTTTTTAATTTTTTTTTTTTTAAAGATGACCGGTAAGGGGATCTTAACCCTTGACTTGGTTGTCAGCACGACGCTCTCCCAAGTGAACTAACTGGCCGTCCCAATATAGGGATCTGAACCCGTGGCCTTAGTTTTATCAACACCACACTCTCCCGAGTGAGCCACGGGCTGGCCCCACAACTGTAT